ATATATATATATATATATATATATATATATATATTTAATCTTGATTTCTAGACTCGTATTAGGTGTTGGTCGATCGTCTAGCAGTCGCATAACAACTTCTAGAACACTAGAATCTACACAGTACAACAGTATAATACAACAAATAATAAAGGGGCAACTAAATGTAAGCAATGAACATGGCAGTAGGTGAGCATTCATGATTGACCATTGACACAGAAAAAGTTTCAAGCTTTATACACTTATATATATTATCAAAATCTAACATGTGAATAAAAAATATAACCAACAATAAAAGAGTTCGATTAATTAATAATAATAATAATAATTAATAATTAATAATAATAACAATAAAGGTGGAAGTTGGAACCAGTGGTTCACCCCTTCCGTAACGCAACTGGTTCAACTCAAACATTAATCCAATCCAATCCAACTTAATCCGACCTTAAACATATATCAATCCGCAGTCGCCCACGTCATATCATTCTCGAAAATCCAATGGCAAACCTCAATCTTCCCGGGTCCGGAGCCGAGCGCCACAAAAGCCCCGTGACCCGGGCTCCAGACCGAGGTATCCAGATGGCAGATTGCAACACCGTTGTTGATTTTGGTTTTGGAATTCGGGTCCAAAATACGGGCCTCGTAGACCCGGACTTTGGGAACCGAGTGGCAGTAGTAGAGCAGATAAGGGTAGAGGCTCTGATGACACGACACCGACTTGGTCACTTTCCCACCGTTGATCCCTCTCACCTCCCCCAGCAGGATATTACCGCTATACCCCTCCGTGTTCTCCGTCGTCCGCACCACCACGTTCCGCCCCAAAACCGATGTCGCAAAGTCAATCATGTCCTCGATGGAGGCCACGCACCGCTTCGTCTCCCCCGGGGTAGGGGCCCGCTCGCACTCGGTCAACGCGTTGCCGACCATTTTCGCCACGCTGTCGCCACCGTGGAAGATCCTCTTTATCTCCTCGATTTTGGAGGTGGAGAAGGGCAGTTTGGAGACTATGGTCCGGGGCAAAAATGACCTTTTGGGCATTTTATCCCGTATGTCCGGCATAGGCATGACTGTGCCCTCTTTCAGCATCGACTCCCTGAAAAACTTCCCCGCCTCCACTGCCCACTTGTTGACGGCGCCGGAGCCGGAGGAGGAGGAGGAGGAGGTTGTGTTCCTGTATGTGGAGAATTTGGTGACCACCTGCTTCGAGTAATCCCCGAAGGTGGTGTTCTTGGAGTAGAATTGGAATCCGGCGGTCACCCCTCTGGATCCCTGGCCGTAGCTGTTGAATTTATCGGTCCCCTCGTTGAACGATTTGCCGTAGTTTTTGAAATCGAGATGGCCGCCGTTGGAGCGCTTGGCGTACGATTTGAAACCGTCGTCCCCGACGTTCGCCTGGTCTCTGTAATTCGCGAACGTTTCTGTGGCGGCGTTTCCCTCCGCGCCGTAATTGTTGAAATTGTTCTCGGGGACATTGGTGTTGGTGCCGTATGAGGTGAAGCTGTCGTTGGCCGCGTTCGCCTGCTCGCCGTAGTGGGAGAAGGTGGACCCAATGACGTTGGAGTCAGTGGCGTAGCTGGTGAATGAGGAGATGGCACCGTTGCCCTTCTTCCCGTAGCTGCTGAACCCCTCGTCCCCGGAGTTGGCCTGCGTTGTGTAGTGGGCGAAGATTTGCTGCCGCCCGTTGCCGTCGTCTGAGTAGGACGCGAACTTGAGGTTGGGCACGTTGACGTGGTCGTTGTAATTATTGAACTGCCCCTGGCCGCCGGTGGCGGAGGTGCCGTAAGTGTTGAAGCTCTGGTCCACCACGTTGCCTTCCGTGGCGTAGGCGGAAAACGCGTCCCCGTGGCCCGTGGAGTCGCGGCTGTACCGGCGGAAGGTGTCCACGATAACGTTCTCGTTCTCGGAGTAACTCTTGAAGACGTCGGCGCCGCCGAGGCGGTCGGTGCCGTAGTTGGTGAAGTTCCTGTCGGTGTAGCCGGCGAAGTTGACGTCGGAGGCGTGTTTCTCGAGGCTTGGGGACAAATCCGGAGCGCACAGCAAGTTGGCCTTGTTGCAAAATTCCGGGAGGTGGTCGGAGAGAGATCCCGGATCGGCGGCGAGCTTGGAGAAGGCGGCGTGCTGAACGGCGGTAAGCGGGGAGGCTTTGTTCAGAAGGAACTCCGGCTTTGGCAAATCGTTGGAGATCTGAGTCCTCCAGTAGCGCAATAAGGAAGCCTTGGGCGAGAAGGGGTTTTCTCCGGCGGCCACCTGCATTCAATTCATTCACCCCCATTAAATAGCTGTAATTAACTGAAATGTAGAAATGTTGGCCGATTGGCCGATTCATCCATCACACTATTCACTGTTTTTCGCACACACACACACACACACGCAGTAAGTACGCGGTTTGGCCGATTCATTCCATTGGTTAAGCTCATCTCCCACTCAATTAATTGAATAGTAATAATAATTGAGGAGAGAAAAGACTTACATTGAATGAAGAAAGGGAGTAAAGGAGGAGGATGAGGAGGAGGAGCGTGAGAGGAGCGGCGGCGGAAGAGGAGGCGGATTTCATTTCGTGTGAGTGGTTTGAGAGAGAGAGAGAGAGAGAGAGAGAGAGAGAGAGAGAGAATGTTGGTGGGTTTTGTGTATGGTTGGAGACTATAATATATGCTTTTATACTCGTTAAAGCTTGTGAATTTGTGATGGATGGAGAGATAGTGGAAATGGAGGGGGCGGGAGGAGGCCCCATAGTACTATGGGGGAATTATTTATTTAAATCAAAAATAAAAAAAATAACTGGACAAAATTAAAACAAAAAAAAAACGAGTGGACCAAAATCAAACAGGCGTATTCTGAGAATACGTTTTACATTGTAAAACGTATTCTCGGAATACGTTTTTATTTTAAAACGTATTATGAAAATACGTTTTATAAATAAAATTAATTTTATTTATTATTTTTAATTCTAAAACGTATTTTTAAAATACGTTTTACAATTAAATATAATAAATAATTTATATTTAATTGTAAAACGTATTTCCGTAATACGTTTGACAATGAATTAATTGTAAAACGTATTACGAAAATACGTTTTACAAATAAAATTTATTATTTATATT